GGTGGCTCCTCCATAGATACAGTGGAGGGGTGAACAAAGCCACCCAAAGGCAGGAAGTGTGTTACTGGTCAGATTACCAGGTAAAAATAAAAGGAAAAAAGCGCCAAAAGAGAAAACGAATGCAACCACCACATCTAAGGATCTGTAAACTCCAATATATTCCATTTTTGTTTTTGGGTTCAGATATGCTTCAATATCTGTGTGTGTAAGAATAATCATCTAAGGGGGAGCCTTACCTAATGTTACTCATAGATTGCTACATTCACATTATACAATTGTTATATGTTATTTTAAAGGAGAAGTATGGGTTTAAGGCTTTTCCCCATAGTTCTCCTTAGGGTAACGGGAGGACACAAACTAGCGTCCTCCAGTCACCCTAAGCTCAGAATACCGCGAGCTACAGCTCCCAGTATACTGAGGCGCCGCAGCTGAAGCGGATCCCGACAATTATGCCAGGATCCGCCCAGCTGCTGGAGTGACAGCTGGCTCTGCCTATCTAGAGGCAGAGCCAGCTGTACCCGCCCGTCGGCGCTGGTGGATCGGAGTGGGGAATCCAGCCCCTCCCCTGTCATGGCAGAGAGCCTTGACAGGATCGAGAAGTGAGCGAGCGCCGGTATGTGTTCGCTCACTTCCCGATCTACTGAGCCGACCTGTGACAGTCTCATTGTCACAGGTCGGCTAGAACTATGAGGTGTGTGAAAAGCATCATTCTCATTTAAAGGAGAACTATGAGATGAGTGATTTCCACTCACCTCATAGTTCCAGCCGACCTGTGACAATGAAACTGTCACAGGTCGGCTCAGTAGATCGGGAGGTGAGCGAACACATACCGGGTTCGCTCACCTCTCGATCCTGTCACGATCCTGTAGCTCGCGGTATACTGAGCATAGTTCTCCTTAGGGTAACGGGAGGACACAAACTAGCGTCCTCCGTTACCCTAAGGAGAACTATGGGGAAAAACACTGACCCCATAGTTCTCCTTTAAGGAGTTGGCTGTGCTCTGGTTTAGCTGAGGTGTGGCAAACCAGCACAAAGAAAACACCAGCAGGGAACATGAACATTAGAATAGAGGGGACACTTGTTTGTATTTCAACATTTGTGGAAGGTTGTAGCAACTGCATTGTCAGTCATTGGGTTCCCAACCAGGTCACATACTGCCGACCATTCCATGACCGTCCTTCACCATAAACTATTGTGTGAAGCTTTTCTGAGCCACACTTGTGATGCTTCTAACGTTCTGTGTAATACAACGCCCGTTACAGAAAAGACACCAGGACTAATACAGCTCAATACAAAGCCAGGCATCTAAAAGTAAACACGGCGTCTTAATGTGGATTTTACATTTATTGTATTCACAAAATCCGTATTTACAACAAAAAATGACCATCTTTGATTCAGTAACATTTTAAGTATTATCTTCATTTTCTCCACATTCTAGTTTCTTCTTCGTGAGAATTGTTATCTCCCATCTGAGCATCTACATATTGTTCATGGAGAATTCTCTCAGTGATTAGTACATAGATACAGAGAGGATTTGCAGGCTCTTCCCACTTTCCAAAAAATTTCATACACATTTTTTTGTTGCCACCTTTAGTTTTTTGGAATACTGTAGAAAGCAAAGAACAGTTTGTTTCATTAAACAGATGATCCGAGGGAAAAATATTTCCTGGAAAGTTAACCAATGGGTTAACTTTGAGTATCCACTAGAATTTTCTGGACTTCATAAAGCACATTGCTGATCTAGTTAGTAAATAACTCTTATTACCAATCCAGGGAGCCCCTCAATTTCTGAAAAGATCAGAAAGTCCCGGAAATGACAATCTTCAAACAAGGTTTGTAGGCACATCAACCAAGATGTCCTAGGCGAGGCTCAACAAACCTCTGTCTCTAACTCATATACCGGTATATACCTTTCTTACTGAGGGGCTAGTGTCCAGTTGGAATCCAGTTTTAACCAGTTTGACCACATTAGGAGTTTTCAGCAAGACAAAGGACCATAATTCATGAAGTTAAATAGGTGAAAGTTCACAGCTAATAGTTTACAGACACACACATCATACAATATATACATATTCACACTTCATACAATATATATATAATACATAATTTGTTATATTATAAGCAACATGTACAACATTTGATTTTGTAGATCGAGGTCAACCCAAGTACAACATGGGTTGAGGTAACAAGTACCTTTTATGTTGATATTGCCAAACAGAAACGTTTATTGGGAGTGAGTTAATATCACCGGCCTCAAGACTTGTGTAAGGAGATGTAATGGTGCACACTGAAGGCTGCTCACACTGGTCTGGGATGACCACAAAAACAAAAAGAGAAAAAGAAAAAAAAGAATTGGCAAACACAGACAGCAAAATCACAGGATAAGAATTCCTGTGATCTTGCTGTCCGTGTTTTGCCGATACACATTATATGCCTGATTTTCAAGTCCTTTGTGAGTATGTCTTTTACCCTTTTTATATCGTTTAATTAAAACGATTTCACACGATGGAGGCGCTCTTTTTATTTCATTTATTGGGAGTGTCTGTTCTGTATGCAGATGGACATGAAAGGAAGGCAAGGAGGTGAGCTTACAGGATGGAGAGCTCAGAGTGGATGTCACCAATGACTAGAAGTACTAAACCAAGGTGAAGGTGGAGCAGTGATCCTTACTATCTTTATGCTAAGCAACCAAATAACAGAGCAGGGGGGTGTTTTGGGGATTTTCACCAAAGAGACATACAAAGTCTCTTGTGCCAAAAAAGTTCTCCCTCTTTCCCACAGCGGTTTTTTTCTCTGTGAACACTGTCTAAGGAGCAGGAACAACATGTACTTACATTTCACTCTAATACAATGCCTGCCTGCAATATAATGCAATATAATGCCTGCCTCCCCACACTGCAGAACATGGAGCTCATAAAGCCAACTTTGATGGAGGACGAAGTGTTTGCAATTTCTGTGTAAACTAAGCAACTCAATAATTAAGCTGACTATTCATGGAGCAGATTTTGGCCAGTTAATCAAGACCATGTTCCATGGGTGGCCCTACTGGTAGCCCTCTATATGACATTGAAGGAGCCAGGAAGGCTGTTCTCTGCCAAACAGTGACTGCAGCCAATCAGCAGTAGATCTGTCCATCCATGTTGTTTAGCGTGGATGGAGAAATATGTTCGATTTATTTAATTCAGCCTAGAGACTGAGCAAAAAAAGTCTACCAGTATATGGTCAGCTTTACGCATGAATCTTGGGCAAATGGAAGATAAGTACATGCTGATTATGTTTTATGGAGTAAAGTGAGCCTGTTACTTTGCTTAGTATGGGAAAAGTGCCAGTTTACTTTAAGCATGAAACAGAGTCATATCAGAGTATAGCATCCATAAAACTATATAATAAAAGCAAACCTGTCATATGGCAATTTATCATTTACTTTCTTAGGGGAAAGATGAAGTGCAAATATATTAGCAACCCATTAAATTATATTTTATCTCACTATATACATCCAGGGTGCAGGGCTGGTGATAATAATCTTTCTATATGCCACACCAGATATAAGAAGGAGAGTTATACACAGAGGGCTGAGACCTGATTCTTAGAACATTAGGTAGTATGAATGCATGCAATGTTCAAGGGGTTTGGGGCTGTTTAGTGAACCAGTAAAGGAGTCCTATTGAACTCTGTACTGTACAATTGGGAATTCTGCTCCTCTGATCAGCAATGATTTCTATAGTGGTGGCCCGCAGAGTGCGAAACCCATTAGGAATGCAGTTTTGCTCATTGCCAGGGAGTGCAGGATAGTAGGGACGTGATTGCCCTCTCCATTTGACATAATTGCTGTAATAGGGTAGTACCATAATGGAACAGAGTGCATGGATTCCTAAAATGGCAGCCACTAAATAAACTGCAAAAGGATCAGGGTTGGGGTAAGGGACTGGATCCCCTATACCACTGGTAGCCATGTTAGTGAGTGTAGGAGTCCTCAAGAGTGGCCCCGACATGTCCAGATAGTTGTACATTAGTTTAGTTTTCATACACTTGTGTTGCATTAACATGCAGTAAAACGTCTCTTACCATTTCTTACCTCAGCACATGGTGACCTGAGCACCCCTGTGCATGCCTTGTGGTGTCCATTCATTTTGAATGAATCCCCAACTCACTCTCCAGTAGCAGGCAACGTGACCACACTGCAGTGTACGGAATGAATGTGCTGTGTGTTGCTGCATTAAAAAGGTCATGTCTGATTTTTCAATGCGTTAAGATTTGCTAAAATTCTGAATGACATTGCACTTGCTTATGCAATAAACTTAAATGTCACCCACATGTTCCTTTATTGAATTAAGTTGGTCATACTATGTAAGATCTACTGCAGGAGCACTCATCCTGCAATCAGATTTTTTTATCCTACCTATTCAATAATAATTGATTGGGAAAGTTGGGGTTACCCCATATAAACACAAGCTGATTACCAGCAATTGAGGTCTCAGATGAACTTTCTTTGCTAATTGTTTTGTAGCTAACTATAGAACATTCTATACAATTGTGATGTTGTAATCTGAAAGCTTTTATATGATTGGTGGCTGCGGCAACACAACAGTTCTTATTTAGGGGAATCTCAGAAGGAAAATAAATGTGGACTCCGGAAGATAACATGGCTACCAGCATAGATTGGACATATTCTATTGGTCACAGTGGATCTTTCAGCAGGCATAAAAGGAACATGATATGTATTAAATAAAATTCACAAAGAAGATCTCAGTGTTCTGCTTCACAATATCCAAAATGCCATAAACACAGAGGGCCAAGAAATCTCACCTCAAACAAATCTGACAGCAGAACAGAAAGCTGTCACCTATCACATAACAGCTGCTGAATGTATAATAGTTAAAGTGCACCTGTCACTCACAGAGTTGTACATCAGACATTTATCTGGTGTGTGTGGTACAAATCCTAAAATTTCCAAACAATCCTTCATAAATTAAAAAAAATGTTTTCCATGTCATAGAAGTACATTTTCTTCTGGCTCATTATATTTGCATATATGCAGATTACAGAATATGACAGGTTCTCCCTTATTTACAAACTGCATTTTTAAAAAGAAAGAAGCAAAGTTAGCTCTGTATGCAGATAAAGGAAACGGTCTGCATTTTTCTTCTTTGTGAACCTGCAAAACAATAAAAATAAATAAGAATTATTAATATATTCCTACATGAGAAGCCCTGATACTCTTAGAAGTCCTATCCATAAATGTGGGGAGAGGTCCTGTATTCATGGTCATGCAATAGGCTGGAGGCTCTGAAGGTGCTAATGCCTCCTGAGAGAATGGGTGCGAAGCTTGGTCGAGGCTCGAGGGCGGCAGAAGCCTGTGGTGTTGTGCCCCCTGGGGGTGGCGTCCCAGGGGTGCGCAGAAAGTCACTTGGGTATGGGACCCCACATGACTCACTGTAGCACTTGGTCACACACCACATTGCAATTTTCTGCACTTCGCCTCCAAGACAGGCCTTATGGCTAGTCCGGGGCAATATTTTTGCACTCCGGCCACTAAGGCATGTCAGAGTGGTGCACTGGCACTTTAGATTATTTAAGCACTCTATCCACGTTTGGCACTTTTTTATTTTAAATTTTGACCCACAGATGCGAAAGGTGCAGGTTTCTTCGGGGCCTATTCCTGACGCTGGGAGGAGATTCTGTGCCTCGAATGGGGTTCTCTGTCTCCTCCCACCCAGGAGGGTGGTTTCTCTTCGGGAGATCCCACTTGCCTAGTACTGAGGGGGACCTGTTTCGGCAGGTCCCCAAAGGAAATGGTCCACGGCCTTAGAGTTGGTGGGCCACCAGTCTCAACCCCTGTAAGGAGCCTTGCGCCCCGGGGGGTCGGGAAAGTAGGTCCCTTCTTTCGTAGGACCTTGCACCCTTGTGCACGTTTTTTGTGTGCTGTGATTTCATGGTTCACTTTTTTTGTTCACAGGGGGAAGTTTTGATGCACGTCCACGGGCTTCGGAAAAAAAAAAAGTTTTATTGCAGTCTGACAATACAACTTCTTTACCAGCGAGCTTGCAGAGCTCTTGCTAAGACCTGCAGGACGCTTGCTGTAGACTTGCCAAGCAAATTTGCTACAAATTCAAAAAGTGTCACCTAGAACTTGTGCTGCAAGTGTTCTGCAAGTCCACAACTTGCCAGGGAATGCAGCAAGTTAACAAGAATTACAATTTAACCCTGCAACAAGTTTGTGGCAAGTTATCCTTGCTATCTGGGTATGTTTTTGGGCCTGTTCACACCACGTCTGTTTTCTGTGCTGACCTGATCCTTACGCTCCTGCACTAAAAATGCATCCCAATGTATCGCTATGTGTTTTATGGGCTACAGTTCTCACGTGCGCAGTCCGTTCAGGTTACGACAGAAAAAATACTGCATGTCACATTTTGTACGGTCCCAAATGCAAAACGCGTCAAAAACGGACTGCAATGCAGCTAACATACTGACAGCCCCACTCCAGCAAAAAAAAAAAAGAATATTTTTTTTTAACTGGAACGCATCAAAAACGCGGCAAAACACATAGCACCGCGTCTGCAGATCCGCACCTGATCCGGACCTGAAAATCATGTGAACAGGCCCTTAGGATCATTATATAACACCCAGCAGGAGTTGTCCCTGGCTGCCTCCAGTACAGGAAGATGGTCTATGGAAAGGTGCAGTAGGTGGGTGAAGATCTGAGTCTGAGGGCCACTTCCCAGTTTACAGAAGACACGAGGGAGAGGACAGTGGCAGCAGCCATCTCACTGCCTGTTTTCCACTAAAAAAGTAAAACATTTTTTTGTATTCACAAGTTTCTTTAAAATGAATACTACATGATGACAAAGACCTTCCTGAAACCTTACCCACTGATATCTTACCGGAAAGGTTTACTCAGAGTAAACATTTCAGGGAGAAAATGCCTCTCTCGCAGACTTCAGGGAGCTGCTATCTAAAAGAGGGAGACTCCCTGAACATCAGGGAGACTTGAGATCCCTGAAGCTGTGATTGTAACACCTTCCCTGGAAATATGAAGCAGTATCTCATTGGCTGCTTTGGGAACATGTGCCATGAGACATATTAGGACATTAATGGAGAACTGAAAACTTACACTCAGGCCTTCACTTCCTTGGAGTTGTCAGAAGCGGTGTCAGAAGCTGTAAAATATAAAGCAATGATTACCATGTACTTCTATTATACGGATAACAGAGCTATATCAGTGTAATATCAGATACACCTCACACACATGACCTGTATACAGAGCACTCTAATGGTGTAACAATATGGATGGCAGAGGCAGCAACTACTACCATATCCGTGGCAGGTCCCAGCACTGACCCCAATACAAGAGTGTGTGTCTCTTCTCTCCTTATTACACCAATAACAATATTAGTATGATGTATTTGTTAGTTAGCTGATGACAAAAAATCCCAGGTACAAACCTTTAATGACAGCAATAACTAACAGCTTCTATCAGAGCTGATCACAAGGCTAAAAGACCCAAGACCACTTTCCTTTGTACTTTGTGTCAGCCATTAAGGTGTACAGAAAGCACTAATAATGATAAGAATTAACAGGTTGTCACATCAGTCCAAATTAAATTGTGCCTTAGAAAATCCTTAGTAACCCGTGTAACCTCAGGACCCACATTTGTCCTTGGTCATTAAGTCACAACCCAATTCGCACTGTATTGGAATGCACAGCACTGCGGTACCATGCTTTCCGGTGTGGACGATCGAACTGTGGGTGGGAGGTGCACTTAGGGTTCTATTCAAATGAATGGCAACGCAACACACCTCCCGAACCACAATGCGCGGTAGGTGCGATTGCGTGGGACTGTGCGATTAACACACTGTACTAGTGTGAAGGGGACCTCAAAAAACACTGACAGTCACACACACACTCCAAATATATATATATATTTATTTTTTTTTAACAGGTCCACGCAGTCTCCCTACCTTACGAGAACTGGAGTGGATCCTCAGTCTGGGGTCCAGAGGGGGCTGATGTGCTGTGACGGAGCTCCGTCCATATGTGCATTGCTGGTACAGCTCCCTTGTGCGCCTGCAGGGTATGTGAGGAAGCTGTAAGCAATGCATGTATAGAAGAGGCTCCCTCACGGCCATAAGCCCAGCGCACCCCACTTCAAGCTGACACTCAGCGCTGGGAATTATATTTTGAATGGCTGCTAGGTGCAGTGGACGGCATGGGGCGACCCACCGATTGAGAACCACAGCCTTAGAGAACCCTACATAAGAATTATAGTCTAAATCATAATAATATAAAATGCTACACAGAGGAACACAGCAATAGAAAAGGAACATAGCAGCAGAGTACTCACTATTGGTGCTCCTATAGTCAGTCTTGTTCGTCTCTGAAATATGAAAAGATGGAGTTAGGAACCAAAAAATAAAACTGCGACCCATGAACTGTAACTTCAATATTTTCAATTAAAAATGTTATTGTGAAATGGAATGTACATTTTGATGCAATTAAATGTATCAGTGTTTTGTTAATATTTTGAAAACCTTACACAAGGTGACAGCTGTATTTGCTTATTACTAGGGATGCACCGATACCACTTTTTTAGGACCGAGTACGAGTACCGATACTTTTGATCAAGTACTCGCAGATACCAATTACCAATACTTTTTCTAAAAGGGACAGGTCACATTTTTTCTAAAGCAATACAAACTAATGCTTTAAGGTCACTTTCTTAATATTATAATTCATGAGATGACGAGGGAGCATGACGTCGGCTTCCCGGCCAATCAGAATGCCGGGCGCTGCGTCATTACACGGCGCCCGGCTTCCGGATTTGCTAGCTTCCTGACCAATCGGGAAGCC